AGTGCGGACAGCAGTGTGGACAGCAGTGTGGACATCAGTGAGGACAGTAGTGAGGACAGCAGTGAGGACAGCAGTGCAGACGAGGACATCAAAGGAGTAAAACCAAAGAGTGCTCTTGCACAAATGTCTGTCCTGAACTGAGAACTATGCTTATCGTGTCCCTCAGCCAAGATCTGTCACCAACCTGCTGTGTGACCATAGGCAAGCCCCTTCACCTCCCTGGGCCTCAGTTTCCATCTGTAAAGAAGTAATTCTCAGAGTTCCTCCAGCCCTGCCTTTTTAGGCGCTACGTAATTTTGGGCCACTTGGTAATGTAGCCACTGAAAGTGTTGTGGAGCGGTAGGGCTTGCACCTTGAAGACGGGGGGCTTTGGAAGTGGTAAAGGGAAGAAGGAGAGTTTTCAGGCCGGGGAAGCACTGAAAGCAGAAGGTCACAAAGACTCCGGCAGATAGCTGTAGAAAGGCTAAGGGCTCGGCGCATCAGGCAGGCTGTTGGCCTGGCTGTGCGCCAGCCTCCCTAGCCTGGTAGGGGGACCACGTGCAAAACCCAAGCATCATCATGTTGCCCTTCCTCAGAAGACATTCTTCTTCTGAGAGGCCAGCTCAGAGACCTTCCAGCGCTCCCTGCCTCGTTATCCAGTTTCCAAATCGTGTCCTGCGAAAAACCCACAAACCCACCCATTCCTGCAGTCCTGCTGCCCTAGCCCCAGGCTCGGAGCCTGAACTCTGCTCTGGGCCATCCTTCTTCCTCCTGCCTGGAGGGCCCTTTCTGTACCTCAAGACTGACGGCATCGCTTCCGAACAGGTTGACCTTGCCTGGCCCAGTGCCTTGGTTCCTTCTCTACCACCACCAGGCCAAGCTGGTCGGCTTCACAGCTCCTACTCACCCTGCAAAGCCCCACTCGGGTGTCACCTCCTCTGAGCAACCCCGTCTACTTCCTCCTTCCCCAGACAGAATTAACCAGCCCCCGTTTGTGCCCCCTGCACCGCGATCATGCCCGAGCCCTCTCGCTTCTCCCGCTGTGCTGTAACTGAGTCCTGGGCGCAACCCCGGGAGACCCCCAAGGACCGAGTCTTTGCATATGTGCCCCTGCAAGCCAGATCCATGACTGTCCCCGCCTGCGCGGGCCCAGGGCCTGCTACCCATGCAGAGTGTCGAGTTCATTCGGCTGGGTCTAATTTCCGTTTGGTAATAATGGTTCTTCCTTTCTATTCCCCACAGAAAACGAGTGGTTGCTTTTCTTTTCTCATTTTTGAAAGCCCTGCCTACCACACAGCTGCTCTGGACATCCAGTTCCTTGATGGATGAAGACAGCCAACCGATCCAGCCCCAAGACCAGAGCTGCTGGGCCAGTCTGCCTGATGTGTGCCTGCGTCGTGTTTTCTGGTGGCTGGGAGACAGGGACCGGTCCAGAGCCGCCCTGGTCTGCAGAAAGTGGAACCAGATGATGTTCTCGGCTGACCTCTGGCGATACAGGACCATCACGTTCAGCGGGAGGCCCTCCAGGGTACATGCGTCTGAATTCGAGTCAGCTCTTTGGTACGTCAAGAAGTTTGGTCGTTATCTGGAGCACCTGGAGATCAAATTTCTGAACCCTTACAACGCCATTCTGACCAAGAAGTTCCAGGTCACCATGCGAGGCCTCCTGTCGTGTCTAGGCAAGAGCAACAACCGTCTGAAATCTCTGTCCGTCCAGCAACTGGAGCTGGACCGCCTGGTCTGGAGGAACAGCATCCGGAGCTCCTTCATCAAAAGCTTGAGCTTCTTCTTAAAGAAAGTGGGCAAGCACCTGGACTACCTCAACCTGAAGGGGGCCCGGCTGACCGTGGAGCAGGGCTGCATGGTGCTCAACTCCCTGAGCTACTTGCGGAGTGAGAGCGTGGTGTCGCAGCTCAACATCGAGGACTACTTCAGCCACCACCTGGCTGTGTACAGCAGTGCCCAGTTCACCAGGACCATGGCCACATTCCACAGCCTGGCGTCCCTGACGCTCAATTACAACTGCATCTCGGACGAGCTGCTCGAGAACCTGTGTGAGAACAATGCCGGGACCCTCTGGACCATGAACATCAAATGCCACATCCACGACCCCCACGGGCAGGTCATCTGGGGCATGTCCTGGGCCAAGCTGGCCAGGCACGCCACCAACCTGAAGGTGAACTTCTTCTTTGAGCGGGTCATGAAGTACGAGCGCCTGGCCCGGATCCTCTTGCAGGAGATCCCAATCCGGAGCCTCAGCCTGAGGAGCTGCTACTTCAGTGACCCCGACTGGTCGATGAGGCCCACGCTCACGGATCTCCTGCCCACCTTCCGGCACACTCTGCAGGTGGGTTGGGCCCGAGGGCTGGGAGGCTGGTGGGGAGCGGCCACCGCTCAGGTCACCGGCTTCCCCAGGGGAGAGGCTCCCGGTGGGGCCGGCATGCACTGGGTCCACCCTGAGGTTCTGGGAAATGCTACCAGGCTAACAGAGCAGCGTCCCCAGGCCCCCCAGGATCATGGTGGGTGACGGCAGCTCACTTCTCTGCGTGGAACACAAGGGA